CCCCACTGGAAGCTACTGACCGCGATGGTGAGTAACCGCTATTCACGCCGACAACGTGAAGCGGCCGATGAGGCGATAATTGTCAGGTACCCCGGAATCTTCGACCGAGCGGCCACAATGGAGGACGGCCTCCAGGATGGCTCGGAAAAGATTGAACTGGTCGTCCGTGCCAATACCGCCTGGGAGCGGTAGCCTCCCTATGAGCCTCCATCACCAAGTCCGCTACGTCTTTCCTGCTTCTGTTCCGCCCTTTGTCCTGCCTGTCCTGCCCCCGCCGCCTCTTAAGCTCGCGCCATTCCGTTCGCACTGCCCATTCTCTCACTATCACGCTCTTCTTTTGTTGTTCTGCCTAATTCCAGTGGCCTTTCCGAATGTCAGTCTTTGTTTCCGAACTGCACATCCGATCGAAACTTCCTCCTTCCTCGAAAACACTCCTTCAGTAAACACAGCTAGCCTCAACTACCGCGGCAATTACCACCATCACTATTTTAATTGGACCAACTATTGAATGTATATTGCCCGATTTTCTTCTCCTTCAACAGCTTCATTCACGTTATCCAAATCATGGCGGCAAAATCAGAATTACCACCATTTGAAGCTATTCGTTTTCTACCGGTACGCCGGCCATGTCTGCTAAGATGCTTGTCGGGGGGGGGGGATAAGCTTTGGTTGGCTGTGCGATGATTTCGCAGAAGTGTGCGTAAACAGTGACGCTGGGGAAGACAGTTCGGACTTTACCGAGTTGTTGTAGCGATTGTTACACGCAGTTGGTGCGTGCCACGCAGTTTTGTTGGAGTCTGAAAAAGCTCAATCAGGAGAGATCTGAGTGAAGCACTCATACACGCAGCGTTTGGGTTCCATATTTTGCATGACGGACATGCTGCCCTCACGAGGTGTCGTCATCTGCTTAAATGCGTTTTGGCTTGTTTCGTTATAGAAGTCGGCAGTAACTTCGTACTGGTGTCGCAAACCGCTGGACATACCGCAGCTTATGCTAAGCCTCGGACACACGCACTTGGGGAACGCATCCCCCTGAGTCCAGAGGCCGCTGCCGCAAGGCACTTTGAACCACAAGGAGCTGAGCTCTTCCTTGAAGTCGGGGAGGGACCCTGGCGGGTATTTCTGCTTAACAAATTGTACGAACTTTTGGAGCCCTTCCGGAGTGCAGGCACTATAGGGAACCCATTTCTTCAAGTGCCGTTGTCTACGCAATTTCCGGACATGGTCCACCTGAGCTACCCTCTTGTCTGCCTTATTCCGCAGTTCTTTGTAGTACTCGATCATGTCGTCTATATAGTTATGTTCATTGGGTCGACACCTCACCACGCACTCTTCATTACCTGAGGGACGAAAGATCCGACCCAGCATTGCCATGAGGAATTCGAGACCGTGTACGCCTGGTACTCCTGCATCAAAGTCAAAACACTGAGGGGTGGCGACTCCCAAGTTTCGACAGATTAACGTTGCGTTCATTGGCTCACCGCAGTACCAGGCGGCTTCGAAGTAACGAGCTTCAACCTCCGGCTTGATGACTAGGTAGTCTGACAGTTTTGAGGTGGGACCCTCTTCCTTGCAGTAGTCAACAGGTGATCGGAATGTCATCAAGTCATATCCCGTTACGGGGTCTCGAAACAGAAACTCTCGATACAACGAAGATATGTCCGGGCAGGGAAGTGCATAAGTGAACCTAGACGCCAGACGGCGCTGATACAGAGCGTCCGCCGTTGGGGCCATTGCGGAGCTGTTACTTGCAACAAAGTCGCTGCCGGGCCAGACACCGTCCCATAACCCAAATGTAGTAAGCAAGCGTTCCAAGGCCAGGACTCCAAGAATCAGGCCGCCGTATTCCATCGCTCTGTGACCCACCACGCTGGGCCAAGAACGCGGCGACTTCCCGGGAGCGACGGCTTCGATCACAATCTTGTTTAAGGCAGTCAGTTTAACTCGAAAACACATTCTGCTTCATGTGTTTTCGAGTTAGTTCCTTGAGGATTGAAGTGTTGCTTCCAGAGCAAGTCGTAATCCTCTTTAGTTACAGAACGCCACTCCTTTATAAAGGCTCGCCGAGCGCCTTCCACGGGTCGCGCTGACTCCATAGTCCTCGGCATGATGTCTTGGAAGATTTGGTCAGCGACGTGTTCATTCAACGCGTCAAGCGGGTTCTTGGGCGCCACCAAGCCGTGCCAAACATTACTGGCGAGAGAGTCCGCGGCTCGTTGGTAGTCTGTCGCTCGCGTCTCAAACTGCGCAACTGATTCCTCGGGATCGCTCCTGCTCTTCGTGTTGTGCTTCCTCTGTGGGCACTCGTTCTCGAGCCCGAACAGGGAAACATCTTCACCCAGGTACTCGTCGAGATCTTGTGGCGGCAGAACTAACAGTCTCATACTATCTTGCTCAAGGTCGAATTGCTTACGCTTGAGGTCCTTCGGGTACGCCACGACCAGAACCTCCAGCGGCTGGTGACTCCCAAGCCCGTCAATTACTGCCACCTTCGCGCTGCAGCCTTGAACGCTCGTCTGCTCACCTCCGTTCGTGTGCAAGACCGACAGAAGTCCACCCAGCTTCAGACCCTTCGATTCTCCGCATACACTCGTTTTCATCAGCCCTGTAAAAGTCTGAGGTTTTAACGGAATTTGCTCTGGGCTGCAAACGGGGCTACCGCTTGACCCGCGGCGCGCCGGCTCGACTTGGTGGTTGTGATCCGAGGGCTGAACGGGGTGTCAGGGTGTAGAGGGTTCGCGCCACACAAAAATAATATATAACTCTACCGAAGGCGATACGACCCCCCGCGACCGGCCCTGTCGGGCCGCTGCTATAACTACACTCGTCCGCGCCCCGGCGTTTACCTGACCGCTCCCGTTATCCGCGTCCCTCGTCCGCGCCCCGGCGTCTACCTGACCGCTCCCGTTATCCGCGTCCCTCGTCTGCCTGCATCACTACCACGGCATCGCAGCTCACTGAAGTGTTACGCGCAGCTCCATACAGCCTACGCGTGCCGCCCAGATCAATCTCGAATCCCAACGTACTCGACATTCCCAACCACGGCAAGTACCGGGAGGGTGTCCACTCCACAGCTGGGGCTGGGGCTTACTTCCTTCACGTACTCAAAGCTCGCAGGGCTCTCTCGCCAAAAACTACGGCCCTGCACCTGCCGCTTCAACGCCCAGTCAATTACACCCTCTGCAACCAGCCACCGACTTACTCTGTCGGTGCCGTCTCTTGGCCCACTACCCTCGTGGCTGCCTCGCCGGCCGACAATGCGGTTCAACAACGTGAACGCACGCCCCCCGCGCACTCCGCGCGTTGACAATGTTGTCATTCGCTCACTCGAGAGCCCTTGATCCGTCCGTAGCACCTTCCTCTCAGCCCCACAACACACTTCTGCCCGAGCTTCACGAGCCTCACGATATTCCCGGGCACACCTCGACGGGAGCAAGGACGGAGCGCCACACAGCCCCAAGGATACGCTGGAGGCAACCAGTCCGGAACTCCGCTCATTCACCCGTTAGCTCGCCGTATCCTTTCAGACCTCTCCGGACGACATTCGACCCAATCTCCGCCACCGAGGACCATCCTAACCTTGCTGTACAACCGTGGGGATCCCAAGCGCTTCCGTGGGAACGTTGGGCGGGGGCTACTCACCACCTGGTGCCTGTGGCGCCCCCAGCTGGCCTTCGCCTTTCGACCCGTTCCTCTGAACATCCGGCGGGTCTCGGTCCCCCCCCGGACAGCCCCTGCAGATCCAGTAGCTGTCGCCAACTGAGCTGACCCGAGGGCCGAACGAGGTGCCAGGGTGTAGAGGGTTCGCGTCACACAAAAATAACTCTACCGAAGGCGACGAGTCCCGGTCGCAAACTCTGACGGCTCAGCGGGCGATGTGAGGTTCCAGTTGTTATGTCTCGCCCGCTGAGCTGAACTGCTCAAGGTTCGGGACCGGCTGCGCCTGTTCGGCACCACCCCCGCCGACTCATGAGCTTAGCCCCCCTTCGCGGCCCCCTTGCTTCGATCCACCTGAGTTGGGTTCGGGTCCGGTCGGACCCCAATTTCATCTCCTAAGAAATTGGGGTCGGCCGGGTTGTCTAAGAATTAAGACTACCTGAGGTAACTTCTTTCACGTGAATTATTTTTGTGATTCTTCTTTGAATGGCGCTCTTGTCTGGTATACCATTCATCCGGATCTTGGTTGCTTGTAATCACAAAGTATGTGGCTAGTAGGTCCGTGATTGACTCAATCACTTTGACTTTGATCGGATTTTCTGATAGATAACGGGGCATAGCGTTTGGAAGAATAGAAATGGTCGAATATAACCGTTGGTCGAATATAACCGTTGGTTGTCCTGTGTAGCCATCCCACCATGGGCCAGATGGTTTTATATAGTACCCTTCGGTTAAGCATCTTGCGGCATAACTTTTTCCAGCGCCCCAGAGTACGATGACGTTTGGTTTTTCACGGACGGACGTTACGCGTGGTAATGCCTTAATGTCTGGTTCGGTTTCCTATAGATCAGCAATGCTGGTGTCTTTCCACCAGCCTTAAAAAGCTCGAGCGTTCTCAAAGTCGGGCGTTCTCAAAGTCGGGCGTTCTCAACATTGGATAATTGTCCGTCGCACGTTATTGGCATGCTGTTGTGTTGAAAAAGTTTTATCTGCGATCAGTTCTATCTGAGATCAGATCTGAGTGAGGCAGTCATATTTGCAGCTTTTGACTTCCATGTTGTGCATCTTGGTGGTCGCGAAGTTACGGAATGCGTCTTGTGTGCTGTTTTTCTCGGACGTCGTCTCAACAATGACCTCGTATATCTGGCGAAGACGATTAGACATGGCACAGGTCATGCGAAGTTTTGGACACGCGCAATCAGGGTATGGTTCGCCGGGTGTCCAGATGCCGGTGCCGCAAGGTGCTTTGAACCATAATTTGCTGAGGCGTTTCTTTTGGAAACCGGGTGGGTATTTTTGCTGAATTGCTTGTATGAATTTTTGGAGTCCGTCCGGGGTGCATGCATCGCTTGGTTCTGTTATATTTAGGTAGCTACGCTTAGTGTGGAGGCGGTTACGCTCTTCTGCCCGCATAAATGCCTGCCTGCGTAATCCTATGTCGGTTTCTAAGACCTGGCGCAGAGACATCAGTCCGTGGGTATCGTAGCGAATAGTATTGCAACGAATCCAGCATTCTTCGTTGCCTGTGGGATTGAAGATTCGACCCAGCATTTCGTTTAAGAAATCTAGACCGTAAGCGCTAGATGAATCGCCAGAAATGAAGTCGAAACACTGAGTGTTGGCGACTCCTAGATTGCGACATAACAATGTGCCGGTACCGGCGCCACAGTGTAGGTACAAAACCTTCGTCTCAAGCCCCGGACTGGCTAATATGAAGTCCCTCGCGTCAGACTTGGCCGCCATCTCCTTGCACTTCTCCATCGGCGTACGCCGGGACATCAGGTCCCAACCCGTCATGGGATCCCGAAACAGATAGTCTCTGTACAAGGAAGAAAGGTCCACCGTCGGCGGCGAGTGACAACTAAATTTAGAGGTAAGGACTTGATGGAGACCCTCAGCTATCCGGACCGTCGCGGTGTCATTGCTTGTGCTGTTCATTACGGAGGAGTTACCCCACATGCTGTCCAAATAGCCGAGTGTGGCTAGCAAACGCTCCAACGCCAGGACTCCGAGAATTACGCCGCCGTACTCCAGCCCTCTCTGACCGACCACGCTGGCCCAGGAGCGCTCCGACTTCCCGGGAGCGGCGGCGTGCATAACAATCTTGTTCAAAGCCGCCAGGTCGCCGTATTCTACTTCGTGCACTTCCGAGTTGGTTTCGCGAGGGTTGAAGTGTTGCTTCCAGAGCATGTCGTAGTCCTCTTGTGTCACCGACCGCCACTCCTTTACAAAGGATCCCCCTACGATTCCCACAGCCTGCGCCGGCGCCATAGTCCTCGGCATGATGTCTTGGAAGATTTGATCAGCAATGTGTTCATTCAAAGCGTCAAGCGGGTTCTTGGGCGCCGTCAACCCGTGCCAAACACTAGTCGCGAATGAATCCACGGCACGCTGGTAGTTAGTTACGTCACCATCACCCAAATACTCATCGACGTCTCGGGGCGGCAGCACCAGCAGCCGCACGCTATCTTGCGCAAGGTCGAACTTGGAACGCGGTTTTGCAAGGTCCTTCGGGTCCGCCACGACCAGAACCTCCAGCAACCCCTGGTCCCCAAGGCCGTCAACTACTGCCACCTTCGCGCTGCAGCCTTGAACGCTTGTCTGCTCACCCCCGTCCGTGTACAACACAGACAGAAGCCCACTTAGTTTCAGACCGCTCGATTCTCCACACACGTTCGTTTTCATTGACGTCCTAAAAAAATTGGTAAGTCAGGACGTAAAAGCTCGAACTTAACAACACGAATTTTTGGTCCCGTCTTGACGAGCTGACCTTCACTCGTTAGCTCAGGCGCCGCAGAAGCCACGGTACAGCTCAGGGGTGTGTGTCACCGCCCGAAGCGGAACGATTTTCGGTCTAGTAGCTGCTGTTGTCCCCAGCCATGTGCGACCGAAGTAGTCGGAGCGCTCCGACTACTATTGATGTTCATTTCCCAACGTTGTTATATTCTTGAGTTGTAAACCGGGTTGGGGAGCACCGTGTGTCAGTGGGTCTGGAGGATGAGCACAAAAAAGGGGCGCGGTGCTAACAGCATGAGCTCAGTCAGTTATGATGACTCTCCTAGCTTGTCTGTAAGCAGCGACCTTGGTGGTGGTCTCTATGCGGGCCGGGCTAGACTGGTATCTCTCCATTCTGACTTTACCACGGATTCGACGGCTTGACCATGGCACTTTGGACAGGCCACAGTTGGACAGGCCACAGTTGGACAGGCGAAGGTGTAGCAACGACATTTGTGTCCCTCTAGCACGAAGCGGGGATGGATCGTTGGTAATTGAAAAACTCTGGCGGTGTGGTCTGTTCAGTCGAGTCTGTTAAATCAAGTCTGTTCAATCACTAAAGAGTTTAGTGAGGCATTGGTAGAAGCAGCGTCTGATCTTCATGCCAGGTATATGACTCTTCGGAAGGACTACAGTTCCTTTCTGCATGAACAGATAACTGGAGTCGCGATATTGGGAGCCTGCGTCGTGGGAGACAGTCACCATCTCGCCCAGGTCGTTGCCCAGTTCGCACGTGACCACGAAACGAGGACACATGCACAAGGGACCGGGCGGTGCTGGTTTTAGTTGGTCACCCATCATAGTCCAGATACCCCTTCCGCAAGGTTTAACAAACCACATTCGCTCGAGTTCTGTCTTGTGGTTTTCAACTGTCTCCATTGGAAACATTCGCCTCATTTTGTTATCCCAGTTTCGCATACCTCCCATATTGTCATCGCCAAGACCCAATGAGGGCTGAAGATGATCGTTCACGTCCTTGTACTCCCTGGCCCAGAAGGGCAAGAGATTTACTCTTTCAGCCGGAAGACCGCACCGCATGGTACAGTGTTCGTTGGGGGCGCGAAGAAAGATTCGTTCCAACATCCCCCACAAGAATTCGGACCCCTCTCTGTTCCAGCTCGGCACGCCAGAAGCGAACTTAAAGCACTGACCGTTGCGTACTCCCAGGCCATCACAGAGTAAGGTGGCTGGAGTGGAACGGCCGCAAACCGTGTGGATAGTCCCTCCTCCAGCCATTAATGCGCGGCCGACTTGAAAATCGTATTGCCCACGAGTATTAAGCATTTTCATGCACTCGTTGTAGGGCGGTCGGTAGTCCAGCAGGTCAACTTCCGTGTCCGGGTCCACAAACATCCCCCTTGTATATATCTTACTAGCAGGGTGCATGAAATCGCCCACATGCCAAACAGGAGGGGGTACAGGAGTAGTACTCGTCGCAACCGTCGACCTCAACTCCCTGCGGACAATCTTCACTGCCTCGGTCATGGCCTCCGTCGCAAATTCGCGTTGTGCATCCGCCGTTGTACTAGGCGTAAAGTTCGCGGCCACTGCCGTAAAATTGGCCGTCAACTTCTGCAACAAACCCGGGGCCTCCGTCGCCAGCTCTTGGTACAGACCGTCAGCCGCCGGGACATCCGCGATGCCATTGGCTGCATCAGCACCATTGCCCGTGAGAGAACCTTTTACATTGTCCCAGTTGCCACCCATCCACCATTGGAAGGCCACAAATGCGACGGCCACGGCGGTGTATTCCAGCACTCTCTGGCAGACAACACTCGACTTCGATCGCGACGACTTTTCGGGAGCTGAGGCTTGCATCACAACCTTGTGCAAGGCAGTCAAGTCGTCGTATTCAATCTCGCGAATTTTAGAGTCGGTCTGTTGGGGGCTGAAATGCAGCTTCCAGAACAAATCGTAGTCCTGCTCCGTGACCGACCTCCACTCCTTTATAAAGGGTCGCAGACGACCTTGTACGGCTTGCGCCGGCGCCATAGTCCTTGGCATGATGTCTTCGAAGATTCGGTCGGCGACTGGTTGGTCCAATGCGTCCAGCGGGTTCTTGGGCGCCACTAAGCCGCGCCAAACGCTGGTGGCCAACGAGTCCACCGCTCGGTGGTAGTCAGCCGTCCCTGTCTCAATCAGCGTCGTCCCTGTCTCAATCAGCGTCTTCCGTTCGTCTAGCCCGGTCTTGCCCTTGAGGGAGTGAACACCGTCGGCATCACCTTTGCCCAAGCACGCATCGATGCCCTCGGGCGGCAGCACCAATAGTCGCACGCTATCTTGCGCCAGGTCGAACTTGGAACGCGGCTTCGCAAGGTCCTTCGGGTCCGCCACGACCAGAACCTCCAACAACCCCTGGCTCCCAAGGCCATCAATTACTGCCACCTTTGCGCTGCAGCCCTCAAGACTCGTCTGCTCACCCCCGTCTGTGTATAACACTGATAGCATCCCGCCCAACTTCAGGCCACTGGATCCTCCACACACGTTCGTTTTCATCGACAGCTTAAAAAATTAAGACTTGGACTCGGTTAAGATTTATTGCCTTTGGACACAGAGTTTTCAATGAAACAAAAACGGAAATAATTCATACTCGTGTTGGTCGAACGTATTCAGCAGCAGACCCGAATCAACTCAATACAGAACAAAACTGTGGAACGTAACAACTACTGACACGCGCCCTCTGCTTATCAGACCATATATATTCTCTCATCTCCGCACATACCTACCTCTCTTTTCCTCCACGCTCCAACTGCGTGGCGGGTACCTCACCCAACCCCACCACGCAGTTGGAGCGATGGCTACATGTAATTGGCGCGCAGTTGGGGCGATGGCTACATGTGGTTGGCGCACAGTTGGAGCGATGGCTACATGTGGTTGGCGCGTGCCACACAGTTGTATTAAGGTCTGAAAAAGCTTAATCAGTCAGGAGAGATCTGAGTGAAACAATCGTAGAGGCAGCGTTTGGGCTCCATGTTTTGCATGACTTTAAAAGCCGCTTTGCCGTTCCCTATGAAGTCACGGAATGCGTCTTGACTGGCAGTGTTGTACGCATCGACAGTGACCTCATACATCTGGCGTAGGTCATTGGACATTGTGCAGGTTATGCTGAACTTCGGACACGTGCACTCGGGAAATGGTTCGTTTTGCGTCCAGACGCCGCCACCGCAAGGCACTTTGAACCACATTCGGCTGAGCTCTTTCTGGAAGCCGGAGAGGGAGCCGGGAGGGTATCTTTTCCTGACGGCTTGTTGGAAGGTTTGTAGCCCCTCCTGGGTGCACGCATCGCCTACCTCCCTAACGTTATTATGAATACGAATATCACGGACTCGGTCCGCCTCGATTAAACGATTAAGCGCTATTTTCTTCAACTTTTCGCGGAACGCTGGGACCCCGGCCTTGGAGCCATCTGGGGGTGAGTCGTCGTGCTCAGGGTAGCAACGAACTACACACGCCTCGTGGCCTGTAGGATGAAAGACTCGACCCAGCATAGACCATAAGAATTCGAAATTATGTGGACCGGGCATTCCTGAAATGAAGTCGAAACACTGAGGGGTGGCCGCCCCCAGACCAGCACACATTAACGTGGCCTTATTATTATGGCCACAGTACAAGTAGTACTCGCGAGGTAGAATTGATAGATCCTGATTCGTAAGTAAGTAGTCCCCCGGCTCTGTCTTCGCCGCCATCTCCCTGCATTTCTCCAAGGGCAATCTCCGCGCGTTCAGATCCCATCCCGTAGCGGGGTCAACGAACATGTAATCTCTGTAAAAGAAAGACATGTCCGGGCTGGGAAGCGTCTGACAACTCCATTTAGACGACATCACCTGGTGCAGACCTTGAGCTACTGCGGAGTCGTTGCCAGACGAGACAGACGAGACAGACGAGCCGGACAAGCCGGACGAGCCAGACGAGACAGGCCAGATGCCGTCCAAATAGCCGAGTGCGGCAAGCAAGCGCTCGACGGTCAGGACTGCGACAAGTACGCCGCCGTATTCCATCGCTCTCTGGCCCACCACACTGGACCAGGAGCGAGACGACTTCTCGGGAGGAGCGACCGCTCGGACCACGATGTTGTTCAAGGCGGTCAAGTCGTCGTATTCTGTTGTCGAGTCGGTATCTCTAGGGTTGAAGTGTTCCTTCCAGAGCAAGTCGTAGTCCTCTTGTGTCACCGACCGCCATTCCTTTACAAAGGATCCCCCTACGATTCCCACGGCCTGCGCCGGCGCCATAGTCCTCGGCACAATGTCTTGGAAGATTTGGTCAGCAACGTGTTCATTCAACGCGTCAAGCGGGTTCTTGGGTGCCACCAACCCGTGCCAAACATTAGTCGCGAATGAGTCCACGGCACGCTGGTAGTTAGTTACGTCACCCTCACCCAGGCACTCATCGACGTCTCGGGGCGGCAGCACCAGCAGCCGCACGCTATCTTGCGCAAGGTCGAACTTGAAACTCGGCTTCGTAAAGTCCTTCGCGTCCGCCACGACCAGAACCTCCAGCGGCCCCTGGCTCCCAAGGCCGTCAATTACTGCCACCTTCGCGCTGCAGCCCTCAAGATTCGTCTGCTCCCCCCCATCAGTGTACAACACAGACAAGAGCCCGCTTAACTTCAGGCCGTTCGATTCTCCACACACGTTTGTCTTCATTAGCGCACCAAAAAAAAACTCCAACAGACGAGTGTTTGTTCTGGACCAACGTTTGTCTCGTCAGTGTATCTCTGCCATTGTGCGCGTCATTCCAACCTGATGTCTCGTCCTTTTGACGCAATAGGTAAGAATAAAGGAGTGTTCAAAAAGACGATGACCAAAAAAACGGGCATGTTCAGATTATGTGAGCGGAGGGTGGTGGGCTGATAAGGTCAGAGGCGCGATCATCAAGAGGGTGCAATGGGGCAACGTCGGTTGTTGGTGCGCTGACGTCGGTAGAGCAAGGACACGGCGACCAACATAGGCGGGAGAAAGAAAGGGTTCGAAGGTATGGCACCCATGGTCGAAGAGCAAGAGAGAGAGGGGGGTTCGAAGAATAGCAGTATGAGCTAGTCGAAAGGTCTCTTGTTGGCGGTCGGTGTAACCCTTGCATAAAGCGTTTGAGTTTGAGGCTCGAGGGTGTACAGGGCTCGAATGAGTCAGATATGCAGGAGAGAGTCCAATAGACGAATGAACGGTAGCCAGATGACTGTAGAGTGCAAGTGCTAGTGCGGGACTATGGTCTTCAGCCCACTTGGTGAGGATTCCTTCTTCGATGATGTGGCCTAGGTATTGAAGTGCGGACGGTATGAATTGTTATTTTCGTAAGTTAATAACCAGCTTTCAGTAGACGCTCGAAGACTTGGTCGGAGAAGCGATGCTACACCCGGTGTATGAATTAAAATTTTGTCTAGGTAGACTAAGAGTAACGTAGGTCATCAAGAAGGAAGTTCACGCTACATTGGAAGGTACCAGGAGGGTCGTCACGCGGGGTGAGGATTAGGGGGACTTTCGGGTTCGGTAACCATAACGTCATTGTTGATGTCAATGGGGACGACAGACGAAGGAGTTGTCTTCAGACGTAACGTTGGGTGTAGTTAAGGTAATGGAATCAAGGTCTTGCCGGTGGCACTTGCACAAGCAACGTATACTGCGATCTTCCATGATCTCTCGGCAGCTCGGCTTCTTCGGATGTGAGTACACTTATCGGGCACAACTACACTTCTCCCGCAAGATATTAATACCCGCAAGCGACCTCCGGACCAGGACAATATTGAATCAGGAAGACAACGTCTCCGCTACGAAATAGTGCTAAAATTTTTATCCTTATGGAAACTGATAAAACTGAAGAGTGCACTTAACTTGACTTGAACAATTTTGAACTATCGATTACTGCCTCACCTATCAATTTATTATGACTCTTATCAGTGCTGTCTATCGTACTGTACTTATTACCACACAAGCGACCATCATGGCTGATTTGAGGAGTTTGTGGACTTAACTGGTGCCAGGGTTCTTGAACCTATCGGCCATAGATAATGCGTACATCATTGCGTGATTTATCGCAGAATCCATTCGAACTATCAGAGAATCATAACTCGTGTTTACAGACAATGCACCGCGTTAAGCACACCACAAAAGGAGACACATCGGAATCGTCGAATGTGACCCACGTCGTGATTCCCTTGCACCGAATAGTCTTCGGTGAAGAGTCGCTGTTACCCAGGTCATGCACCATGTTGTATTGAGAAGAGGGCACGCGACTGACTGAAGGGTGGTCCATGACAACGATGGCTTGAAGGAGGATGGCTTGAAGGATGATGATGAGCGAGGGACGTGAAGATAGAAGTCGAGTGGAGTTGTTGAACCCCGGAAAAAAGATACAAACCTGTTTGGCGCTACGGGTACTCGCGTCCCTCTGAGTGAAAAAGTTCAGTCAGAAAAGAGCTGAGTGAGGCATTGATAAAAGCAGCGCTTTATCTCCAAGGGCGTTCCGGTACCTGTTATGTTTGAATTTGGAAGGACACCATCAAGATAGGCTAGCTGTCTCGGTTTGTCCCGAATGTCTAGAGAGTCGACCGAGACACTGAGCCTCTCACCTGTCTCGCTACGAGTCTCGCATGTGACTCTGAGTTTCGGACACTTACAAGCGGGTTGCCACGGTTTGTGGACCCATTTTCTCTCATCAAATGGCAAGCTCCATACTCCCGATCCGCAAGGTACGCCGAACCACATCTTGGTAAGTTTTTCCTTATGCTCGGTTACTGCTTCAGCCGGGAACATTCGCTTCATTCTTAGTTCAAATTCTTGGAAATCCTGATCGCTCACGTCGTTAAGTACGTAATTAAACCGTGGGTCCTTCATGCCCGGAAGAAAGGTTGTGTGGTAGTCTCTCACGATGAGGGGCAAGCGACGTATCGCTAGCGCGTTGTCGCAACGAATACGACATTGCTCGTTGTTTGGAAACAGGAACATCCGGTTCAACATGTTCCACAACTGTCTCAGACCCAGTGGATTCTTTTGCAACACAGGGGACACGAAGCTAAAGCATTGACGGTTGCGGACTCCCAGGTTTTCACACGCAAGGGTCGCATTATATGGATTGCAGGCACCCTGAAGGCTGTCAAACCTTTCTAACATTGCACGGTCGACCACAATGTCTGTCCACCTAGGCTTCCCACCCATCCCATCGCACTTGCTCGGGGTCGTGCGGTATTGCAACAGGTCAGTCCCCGTTCTAGGATCCACGTACACACCCGGCCTGTATAAATCACGGGTGCTCAAATACTTTCCTATATACCAATCAGGGCCACTCGTCGCATCCACAGTGCTCGCACCCACTGTGCTCGCACCCACTGTGCTCGCACCCACAGTGCTCAACTTCTTGCGCACAGTCTCCGCTGCCTCGGTAATAGCCTTCGTCGCAAATTGGCTCGCTGCCTTTGCCGCTGTAAAGTTACTGGTCATCCCAGAGTTCGGAGTTTCTGTAGCGCTATGCGTGGCCGTCATGTTGTTAATCATACTCTCTGCCGCTGTCGTAAAATTGTCCGTCAACTTCTGCAAGAGGCCCGGGGCCTCTGTCGTCAGCGCTTGGTATAGACCGTCGGCCACCGGGGTCTCGGCGATGCCACTGACTGGGACGATCCCGTTGCCCCCAGCAGAACTCTTTACTGTGTCCCAGTAGCCGCCGGGCTTGGTCATCCACCATTGGAAGGCCACGATTGCCACGGTCACGGCGGCGTATTCGAGCACTCTCTGGCAGACCACTCTGGACTTGGAGCACGACGATCCCTTGTGACTTGATGCTTGCATCACAATCTTGTGCAAGGCAGTCAAGTCGTCGTATTCTACCTCGCGCATTTTTGAGTCGGTTTGTTGGGGGTTGAAGTGCAGCTTCCAGAACAAGTCGTAGTCCTCTCTAGTGACCGACCGCCACTCCTTTATAAAGGGTGACTTAATGCCTTCTACGGCTTGCGCCGGCGCCATAGTCCTTGGCATGATATCTTCGAAGATTCGGTCGGCTACCGGCTGGTCCAACGCGTCCAACAAATTCTTGGGCGCCACCAAGCCCCGCCAAACGCTGGTCGCCAAAGAGTCTACCGCTTGGTGGTAGTCAGCCGTTCCTGCCTCAAGTAGCGTCGCCCGTTCGTGCAGCTCGGTCTTGGTCTGGAAGGCGTGAACACCGCCACCTTTGCCCAAGCACGCATCGATGCCCTCGGGCGGCAGCACCAACAGTCGCACGCTATCTTGAGTAAGATCGAACTTGGAACGCGGCTTCTCAAGGTCCTTCGGGTCCGCCACGACCAGAACCTCCAGCAGCCCCTGGCTGCCAAGGCCATCAATTACTGCCACCTTCGCGCTGCAGCCCTCAAGACTCGTCTGCTCGCCTCCGTCTGTGTATAATACAGACAGAAGCCCACTTAGTTTCAGATCACTCGATTCTCCACACACGTTCGTTTTCATCAACAACTTAAAAAAAAAAGGATTTCTTGCGGCCCATCCGGACCAAGCTTTGTCATCACAAAAAAGGTTGTTCCGTCCCCCAAAAAGGTAGCAGCACCGGAGAGGGCCGCACCGGAGAGGGCCGCACCGGAGAGGGCAGCACCGGAGAGGGTCGCACAGGAGAGGGCCGGGTTGTGTTGGAGGGTGCCGAGAATTATCGGCCTGCAAGTCACAGTGTCCAGCGACGAAAAGGCAGGCGGCAATGTCTAGACGGAATGTCCAAGCTAGAGGTTTGCGGGATAATTGGGTGGCAGGTCTTTTGCAGCACACGTTATCACGGAATCGTTGTCTTCGCCACAGTCGCGGATAAAGGTGATTGTGGCGAACTCATTGATCACTTCTGTTGGGTATGCCGGTCCGGCTTCGCGTAAGGTTTCCATCTCGGTAATATGATCGTTTTGGAAGCACACTGTCTTCTCTGGGTTGTTGATGATCCAACGGGGGAAAAAGATCGTACCGTGGAATAGTTTATCACCCAGATTCGCTATCAGGCTGACATCAGTGCCAGTGGGCTCCGTCCATGAAATTTTGTAGATACTTTGACCAACACGCGCAATGTCAACAACCTGATCTTTCACCCACCTATTGCCCACTATTCCACTATGAATACGGTAATCCAAGGTGCTCGCATTCTTCACATAAAATTCGTAATTCCATCCATTGTCGTAAGTGTAGATTAGATGCTTTCCAACAAAGCCACTCAGATCGAACTTATCAAACATATTCATACTCCTTTTTTAATGCCGTATGCTGCGTTTTGTCTTGGACTGAGTAGTCCACTGGACCCGCTCGCCAGACCCGCCCGCCAGACCCGCCCGCCGGACCCGCTACCGACATACCGTTCGCTATTGAGACACGTTGTGGGTATGTTTGCTCTCCGGTAGCTCACCCATGCCACTGGGTCGTCAGCCGGTCAAAATCTGCTACCCCCTCCACGAGCCTCCCTCCCCGTGTGCCACAGTCCAGATTAAATCGCCCCATTTGCCGCGGAGTGTTGCCTCGAAGCAATCGTCTACGTGCTTGACAAGGACGGTAGAATGGCTACAACCCTTCTCTAGATACAAAGATGCTGACTTAGCCCTGGCAGGTTGTCGTGTCTTGAACTGTTGTTTACGTCAATGCCCCCTGCGGAGAAGGCGGGCGTGGAGTCGTCTAGGGGAACCATTGCACTGAACGGAACATCGGGAGGGGTCAGTGTAGTCGCCTGCCAGACAGACAGACGGCAAACTCAACTCCCAGAGTAACCCGAAGTAATGACACGTGGGATTCTCACCGTCAGTGCAAAGTAACGTGCCACCGGTATGGTCACACCTCGACCAATCTAGCTCCTCCCAGCCATTCACACTAGGCGCTCCCGTCGGAACGCCCGCCGGACGGGGGCTACTCGTCGTCCTTGCATAGAAGCGGAAGTGACAGGGCCGTAGTCGTTGACAAGATGTGCCATGCGAGCTTTGCGTGAATGAAGTAAGCCCCAGCTGTGCAGTAGAAGCACCCCAGGCACTCGCTCTCACGACGAACGTGAAGTGGGCCAGGGGTCAAGCCGAACCCTCCGGGAACGCGCGTGGACTAACATGAGTCGCACGGCGCGCTCGCGGTGGGCAGACAGGTAGACAAAACGGACGACGCACACTGTGGCTGACGAGGCGGCTGAGAATCTGAGACCGATCCTGTGGAGCCGACGTGGATCGGCAGCGAAGGAGTCGCCCTTTTTGTCAACGAGCTGCCGAGGGAGGCCCAGGTACGACCTTCGCCACGTCAGCTGGGTTGAATTCGGGCCTGCGGACTGAATGGGTCATGCGTTCGTAAAAAACGACGAGGCCGGTCCCAATTTCATCTCGGTGGGTGAGATGAAATTGGGGCCCGATTGGTCAGCAATTGAGCTCGTCAATAAAGACGTAACGGACACAGAAAGGCCTTTTTTGTGGGAGGAGGGGCCTTTTTTTCGAGAAGGACAGACTTGGCCAGAGGCGGGCGTTGAAGCGCCCATACTATTACCGCGCAAAAAAAGTGTGTGCAAACAGAGGTGGTAACGCCGGGAAAGCAGTTCTCTCACAATCACTCCAGAACTAGGCTGCACCAGCGAGCGCTGGCTGCCATGAAGCGACCTGTTGGAGCGATTGTTACACGCGGCTGGCGCGTGCCACGCAACTGCGTGGCACGTGTTTTGCGGCTTGAAAAAGCTCAATCAGGAGAGATCTGAGTAAAACAATCATACAGGCAGCGTTTGGCTTCCATGTTTTGCATGACTTCCATACCCATACGGGGCGTTGTCATCTGGTCGAATGCGTGTTGGCTGGTTTCGTTGTGAAAGTCGACAGTGACATCGTACAAGTGTCGCACGCGGTCAGACATGGAGCAGGTTATGCTAAGCCTTGGACACGTGCACGTAGGGAACGGATCGCCTTGCGTCCAGACGCCGCTACCGCAAGGTGCTTTGAACCACAAGGAACTAAGCTCTTGCTTGAAGTAGGGGAGGGACCCTGGCGGGTATTTCTGCTTAACAGATTGCACGAACTTTTGGAGCCCTTGCGGAGTGCACGCGTCATGGGCAATCCACTTCGTTATATTCCGTTCTCGACGCAATTTCCGGACTTGGTCCCGCTCGGGTAAGCGCTTTGCTGCATGCGCCCGCAACTCTCCGTTGTACCGGGCAAGGTCCCTTGATCTGTCGAACTGAGGGAGGTGACACCGCACCACACACTCTTCATTGCCTGAGGGACGAAAGATTCTACCCAGCATTCCCATAATGAGTTCCAGACCTCTTGGGCCTCCGTCTCGTGAAATGAAGTCAAAACACTGCGGGGTGGCGACTCCTAAGTTGCGACAGATCAACGTTGCGTTCTCGTAACTGCTACCGCAGTGCAAGGCGGCTTGGGGGTATTCAAGTGCAAGCTCCGGACTGATGGCTGTGTAGTCTACTGTATATGATTTGCTAGCCCATTTCCTGCACTTGTCAAGAGGTGTTCGGAAGGTCATCAAGTCCCATCCCGATGCGGTATCTCGAAACAGATGGTCCCAATACAACGACGACAAATCCACGTCCGGCAGCTTTTCACAACTGAATGCAGACGTCAGTCCCCGACGCAGAGCGTGCGCCTTCGGGGCCACTGCGGAGCCGTTTTTTACAACAAAGTCATTGCCGGACCAGACGTCGTCCAAGTAGCCCAGTGTGGCAAGCAAGCGCTCGACGGCCAGGGCTCCGAGGAGCACACCACCATATTCCACCGCTCTCTGGCCCAGGACGCTGGACCAGGAGCGCGGCGACTTCCCGGGAGCGATGGCTCGGAACACAGTCTTGTTCAAAGCCGCCAGGTCAGCGTGTTCGGCCTCCTGCGTTTTCGACTTAATTTCCCGGGGATTGAAGTGTTGCTTCCAGAGCAAGTCGTAGTCCTCCCTAGTTACAGACCGCCACTCCTTTATAAAGGCTCGCCGAGCCCCTTCCACGGGTCGCGCCGGCGCCATAGTCCTCGGCATGATGTCTTGGAAGATTTGGTCAGCGACGTGTTCATTCAACGCGTCAAGCGGGTTCTTGGGCGCCGTCAACCCGTGCCAAACATTAGTCGCGAAGGAGTCCACGGCTCGTTGATAGTCTGTCGCTCGCGTCTCAAGCTGCGCAACTGATTCCTCGGGATCGCTTCTGCTCTTCGTGTTATGTCGGCACTCGTTCTCGAGCCCGAACAGGGAAACATCTTTATCTTCACCTAGGTACTCGTCGAGATCTTGTGGCGGCAGAACTAACAGTCTCACGCTATCTTGTGTAAGGTCGAACTTTGAACGCGGCTTTGCAAGGTCCTTCGGGTCCGCCACGACCAGAACCTCCACCTGGCTCCCAAGGCCATCAATTACTGCCACCTTCGCGCTGCAGCCCTCAAGACTCGTCTGCTGTCCCCCGTCTGTGTATAACACTGACAATACCCCACTTAGTCCCAGACCGCTCGATTCTCCGCACACACTCGTTTTCATTACAGGGAAAAAAATGAAATATCAATTAGCTCTGGCTAGACGAGTCTGTTGTGTCTTTTCCGTAAAAGCAATGCCGCTACTGATACCTCCAATATTATTTTTTAACAGAATTGTGGATAATTTCGGAAGGGTAAATGATTGTGGTGACGCAAGCAAAATCCGTTCCGTTTTGTTTCGTTCTCTTGAATGAAAAAGTTCAGTCGGATAGTGGTGTACTACGTTCTGGTCTAGTGTGCCCTAGTGGTCTAGTGCGCCCTAGTTCAAGGTCGTCTTGAGGTGTGTAGCCTTGCTCTTTGTTTGAGCGTGGTGTATCTTGAAAGAGCTGAGTAAGGCATTGGTAGAAGCAGCGTTTGATCTGCATGGGCGTTCGTCGTCCTGTTATGTGTGACTCCGGAAGAACGCTATGAGAAGCCATCCACTGAGGGGTGTCTTGAATGTTGAAAGTGTCAACGGATACATAGAGCTTCTCGCCTGCATCGTTTGCCGTTTGGCATGTGACTCTAAGTTTGGGACATCTGCAAAGGGGGTCGATACGATCAAAATACATTGGGAATGTCCAGACTTCCCCGCCACAAGGGATACCGAACCACATTTGGCTAAGTTTATGGTTATGCTTGGCGACCGTGTCAGCCGAGAACATCCGCCTCATTCTTAGTTCGAATTCTCGGAGATCTCGCTCCGGCTCGAACGTAGAATCGCCCATAACCTGTCCGAGACTCATGAGGGGTTCTGATCCACCCACATAGTTGGTCGAGATCACACTTCCGCGATCATACTCCTTCGACATTTCGTTCGTACGGTCACAACGAATACGACATAGTTGGTCGCCTGGGATAGAAAACATTCGGCGCAACATTTTCCACAAAGTATTCAGATTTCGCGGGTTACCCGACTGCGCCCCAGACATAAACCGGAAACACTGGTACATGCGTAGTCCTAAGTTAGGACACATCAGAGTCCCGGCTACACCGTCACCACAAACGTTCGCATTATTCTCTCCATCCAGTGATGCAACGTCAATCACCACATCTTTCGGCTTGCGGTAAGTTACGTCTTCACAAACGGATATGTTCCCACGATACACGAGCATGTCAATTCCCGTTCTAGGATCTCTGTACACACCGGGCTTATACAATAACGAATCCGATATACGTTCACCTACATGCCAATTAGGGTTGGTCGCCTCTCTCAACTTCTCCGCCAAAGTCTGTACTGACTCGGTAGTAGCCTCCGTCGCATTTTGGCCAGCCACCTTCGCCAGCCATTGGCCAGCCATTGTACGGTTAGCCGTCGGCATAAAGCTCGCGGTCGGCATAAAGCTCGCGGCCTCCGTAAGGTCATGTATCGCCGTCGCACTGGCCGTCACGTTGTTAATCATACTCTCTGCTCCTGTCGTACTCAACTCCTTCCGCGCAGTCTTCACCGCTTTGGTAATAGCCTCCGTCACAAACTGGCCCACTACCTTCGCCGTTTGAAAGTCACTGCTCGGCTTAAAGCTCCCGGCCTCCGCAAGGTTATGTATCGCCGTCACGTTGTTAATCATACTCTCTGCCGCTGTCGTAAAATTGTCCGTCAACTTCTGCAAGAGGCCTGGGGCCTCTGTCGTCAGCGCTTGGTACAGACCGTCGGCCTCCGGGACATCCGCGCTGCCACTGGCTGAGGCGATCCCGCTGCCCAAAGCGGAACCCTTTACGTTGCCCCAGTAGCCAGAGCTGCCCATCCACCATCGGAAGGCCACAAATGCGGCGGTCACAGCGGCATATTCCAGCACTCTCTGGCAGACCACACTGGACTTGGAGCGCGACGATCCCCCGTGAACCGAAGCATCGATCACAATATTGTGCAAGGCAGTCAAGTCATCATATTCCACCTCGCGCATTTTTGAGTCGGTTTGTTGGGGGCTGAAGTGCAGCTTCCAGAACAAGTCGTAGTCTTGTTCCGTGACCGACCGCCACTCCTTTATAAAGGGTCGCGGAGCATTTTCTACGGATTGCGCCGGCATCATAGTCCTTGGCATGATGTCTTCGAAGATTCGATCGGCGACTGGTTCGTCCAACGCGTCCAGCGGATTCTTGGGCGCCACCAAGCCACGCCAAACGCTGGTCGCTAAGGAGTCCGTCGCTTGGTGGTAGTCAGCCGTCCCTGTCTCAATCAGCGTCGTCCGTTCGTCTAGCCCGGTCTTGCCCTTGAGGGCGTGAACACCGTCAGCGTCACCTTTCCCCACGTAAGTGCCGACGTCTTCGGGCGGCAGCACCAACAGTCGCACACTATCGTGTGCCAGGTCGAACTTGGAACGCGGCTTCTCAAGGTCCTTCGGGTCCGCCAGGACCAGAACCTCCAGCGGCCGGTGGCTCCCAAGGCCGTCAATTACTGCCACCTTCGCGCTGCAGTCTTCAAGACTCGTCTGCTCACCCCCTTCAGTGTACAACACAGACAAGAGCCCACTCAACTTCAGAGCACTTGATTCTCCGGACACATTGGTCCTCATTGGTACTCTGAAAAGATAACTGAACAAGTCCACAGGTCCAGTCGTGTGCGCGTTGTGTCTCATTTTATGAGAATAACCAAGAGAAAAAACCACCATGGGTGGATCAAGAAAACACCATGGGTGGGTCAATAAGGCAGAGCAGTAGCGAGGCAACGAGCAAGTTCTTCCCGTTCTTAGGAGGAACGTAGTTCCGCGAGGTAATTGGTCGCATATGAGAAACCTCAAATGTGCTGGATATCCAAGCCGATAAGCTGTAATCTCCGCTAGGCCGCGTAGCTTCGAGTGTTGTCATCGCTGATGAGCTTAGCCGTATGTGCGTCGACTCTCGGTAATGGCAATATTGAGTCGTGTAATTACTCAGCCACGCGCCTGAGGAAGCCTTTCCCTGACGACCCAACGGCCACGCAGCAAAGATAGCGCCAAATAAGTTTTTATCGTTTTTCCGGGTTCAACTCCACTCGGATCATCCAGCAAGCCATCCTAGCGTCATAGAACAGCCTTCAGCCAGTCGCGCGCCCTCTTCTCAAAAAAAACGTGGTGAACTCGGATCAGACTCGGATCAAAACGGAATCACTCGGTTCAAGACAAAACGTGGATCTAAGAGGCTACATCCAATAGTTTTAAGGGGCACGGACTCAAACGTAGGCCGAAACAACACCTCCCCAATACCCAACAAGATGTCCTCGCCCATCGCACAAGTCGGTCCCTAAGATGCCCATCGGAGTACCATCCGATGGAGTAGCTGTCATCCTCCGACATTTTGTCCATCACCACAAATATGATAGTGGGGGTATAAGTCCAGCGACGCAACGGTATCCTCAACCTCTCGCGCAGGGCTCTCTCTTGGCCACGGCACGAGCAATGGGACGCTGATCATTTCGTCGGCGATGTTGGTCACACACCCGCGACGGGTAGCTTCGTAGTGAGCTACCGGACGGGAGGATGCTAAGGCACACGTGCTGGTCCTGATTCGACAAACAACAACTATACAACAACAATACTACGACAACAACACTAAAATATCGATTTCCAAATTCTTGACCGAATACTCCGTGCAGGGCCCGTATGTATGCCGCGCCTAACCGACTCGTGGAATAGCATCTTGGAAGCTGCTGCTACTTTTTGCCTTCGTCGGCGTGTAGCCAGTCCGGGCTTGTGGTCGTTCCTCCGCCCGTCGAAAGTCGCTTCTCTCCGCCCAATTCCATGACTGGTCCACTCCGGACAATTCTACCGCTCGATTTCGTCTCAAGGAGACAGCTCCGGAATGTCTGCTCGGACGCTGAGGGCAAAGACCAAGCGAACACCCCTGAAGCCAGACGAGTAGAACAACACCTAGGTCCATCCACATCTCACCCCCGAGGGTGAGGAGGCTGTCGTTGTAACGTATGCTTTCGCGGCCGGTGGGAATAGTGAGCATCCGTGCGTGACAACCACCGGAAGCAGTAGAAAAAAGAATGAGGAAACTCTCGTTGGATTACATCAAAGGTACTTGTAGGGGAACGGCCTCACTAGACGCGAGCTCATAACCACCCTCTGACTTCCGCTTCTTGGGTCTTGCCATTGCAGTCAACCATATGCACGTTTCCCAACGGGCGTAAAAATGTGTTAAGCATGCTCGAAAGATTATTTACAAGACGTTCGCTGCCACACCGTGGCCTTGTGTACGACGGGCTTTTGGTCCGTTGTGCCAAGGCCGCGGGTGGCGGCATCTCCGCGGGGTGGGGAAGCTTCGGCTTCCCCACCTACTTCCTGTTCTGCGGCCTGGCCTTCGTGGTCGGGCTGCAGATCCTCGTTTACGGTGTGGCGTCCAGCCACTTCGGCAACAGCCGTGTCTTCGGGTAAGTGTGTGGTCAGCGAGGCAGCTGATGCTTGTGGTCGAGCAGGTTACTAGTTGAACCGAGTATAATCTTTCGTTCCTTCAGACTCGCGGCTGTTGCCGTTCTCACCACTGCCGCGCTAGCGACATACCACATCACGTGTGCCGCTAGCCGGCACGCGTCACACCGTAGGCGGGTGGCCCGGCTACAAAGCGCCAGGCGCAGCCTCCAAAGAAAGTCCTCGTCGGCCGGACACAGGCGTAGACGTTCCATCAGCAGCGTCTACGGTCTGGTGTGAGGGCCGGCAAGGCACCATGGCTGCCCTATCAGACGTCCGTTCTTTCCCACTTCGTTCCCGTGGGTTTGAATTGCCATTTTACCAGTCAAATCCATTTCTTCATTTCATTCATCACGACGTGTTTTTATGGTCGTTACAGTGTCCTCTGCAGGTCTACGTACGGAAGGCTAAGAGGACCTAAGTCGCCGGAAAGTTCGAGTTACTGCCCGCTGCCCAGTCCCGTCGAAACATTCGGCAAGCGACCTTGAAGTGGTTGAACTTCTGGCAGTAGAAGCAGACGCGGCGGGTTAGCGGTAGCGGTTGGAGGGGCTCCATGATACATGCCTTTTTCCGTAGCGCCGGGAAAGCAGTTCTCTCACAATCACTCCAGAACTAGCTAGGCTGCACCAGCGAGCGCTGGCTGCCATGAAGCGACCTGTTGTAGCGATTGTTACACGTAGTTCGCGCGTGCCACACAGTTGTGTTGTGGTTTGAAAAAGCTCAGCGGGGAGAGATCTGAGTGAAGCACTCATACACGCAGCGTTTGGGTTCCATATTTTGCATGACGGACATACTACCCCCACGGGGCGCCGTCATCTTGCGGAATGCGTTTTGGCTTTTTTCGTTGTGAAAGTCGACAGTAGCTTCGTACTGATGTTGCAGACGGCTGGACATGCTGCAGGTTATGCTAAGTCTTGGACACGTGCACGAAGGGAACGGATCACCTTGCGTCCAGAGGCCGTTGCCGCAAGGTGCTTTGAACCACAAAGAACTAAGCTCTTCCTTGAAATCGGGGAGGGACCCTGGCGGGTATTTCTGCTTAATTGATCGTACGAATTTTTTGAGCCCATTCGGGGTGCACGCATAAGGGGGAACCCACGTCTTTATCTTCCGTTGTCGGCGCGCTTTCCGGACTTGCTTCCGCTCGGGTAAGCGCTTTGCTGCATGCTCCCGCAGTTCTTCGTTGTACTTGGCCATGTCGTCTATATAGTTATGTTCATTGGGTCGACACCTGACCACACACTCTTCATTACCTAAAGAACGAAAGATCCGATCCAACATTCCCAAACGGAATGACAAACTCTTTAGCCCCCCGCCACGTACAATCAAGTCAAAACACTGGCGACTCCTAAGTTGCGACAGATCAACATTGCGTGCATTGGCAACGCTGCCAATCGGGTTCGATTCCGGGCGATGACTGTGTAGTCAGTTGGCATTGAGATGTGAGACTGATTCTCGCAATCCTCGATAGGTGTTCGGAATGACATCAGGTCATAGCCCGTTGCGGGGTCCTGAAACAAAAACTTCCGGTACAACGAAGACAGTTTGACGCGCGGAAGCTTTTCACAACTGAATCGAGACGTCAGACCGCGCCGATACAGAGCGTCCGCCGTTGGGGCCACTTCGGAGCTTGTAACAAAGTCGTTGCCGGGCCAGACTCCGTCCCAGAACCCAACCGCAGTAAGCAAGCGTTCCAAGGCCAGGACTCCACGGCGCCCTGCGGCGCACTCGAGACAGTCCCGCACCGTCTGGGCTACGTCCCTGGCTAATCCGGACCAGGTAAACAGACGAGCTCTGCCCTGGCCCGGCTCCGCCCTCTTCAGGCAGAGTCCCCTCGGGATGAAGAGTCTAAGGCACCCGACCATTTCGAGGAAGCTCTGTAGATCAGCTGCCCCCGCCCCCCACACGGAGGTCATCCACCCCCGGGGGCGTCGGATAGGACGGCACAAACGTGCGGCATTATCGACGTTTGGATCCTTCTGGCACGAAGCGAGGAGCTTGTTGGTGCACGAAAAAGTCAGACCGCCGCTACAAGTCAGCCGACGGCCACTAAGCGGTCCGCAGGTTTGCCTTGACGTAGATAACCTTTCTCTTTGAAAGGAGGCGGCGAGTCTTGGAAGAGTTGAGTGAGGCATTGGTAGAAGCATCTTTTAATGGGGAAGGCCGTTCCGTATCCTGTTATGTTGGAGTCAGGGAAGACGTTGTGGTAGGCCATAAACATGGGGCTGTCCTGCATGCCGTAAGTGTCGACGGAGACATAGAGCTTCTCGCCTGCGTCATTCGCCGTCTGGCATGTGACTCTAAGTTTGGGACACCTGCAACTGGGCTTCCACCTGCAACTGGGCTTCCACTCGTTAGTAATTGTCGCCCGAGGCCACATGCCTTCCCCACAAGGGGTGTTGAACCACATTTCGCTAAATTCTTCCTTATACTTGGCGACCGTGTCAGCCGAAAACATCCGCTCCGTTCTTAGCTCCAAGAATTCGAGCTTTCTCCGGCCCACCCTCCCAGACACCCATGGGCATGTCATCGCCAGCGGAAACATCGCTCGCGAACCAATGCCCGTATCGGTAAAATTCACCGTAGTAGTAGTTCTCCTCCTCCGACATTTTGTCCGGATGATCGCAACGAACATTGTTGATCACCCGGCATAACAAACATTCGGCGCAACATATTCCACAAGGTTGTCAGGTGCCGTCGGTCGCCGCCTGGCGCGTCCGACTTGAACCAAAAACACTGGAGGTTGCGTACTCCCAAGTTTTCACACGCCAGGATGCCGAATTCACGGCCACCACAAATTGGATAGTGGGGGTATAAATCAAGTGACGCAACGTCAACCATCACGTCTCCCGCCAAGGGGGTCCTCATGCGCTCGCACGCATATTTGTTCGGGCGACATCCGAACAAGTCAGTTCCCGTCCTGGAATCCACGTACACACCCTCCTTGTATATCAAAGAATCAGGTACAACTTCGCCTATGTGCCAATCAGGGCGGTCATTTGGTATCCTCAACTTCTTGCGGGCTGTCGTCATTGCCCCGGTAGTAGTCGCTGTCGTCGCAAACTTAGTGGTCGGCTTAATGCTCGCGACCGCCCTACGGCCACGTATAGCCGTCACGCTGTTAATGATGTTCTCTGCTGTTGTCGTACTCAACTCCTTGCGGGCTGTCGTCACTGCATTGGTAATAGCCTCCGTCGCAAATTTGCTCGCTGCCTTCGCCGTGGTCAAGTTAGTGCTCGGCCTTAAGCTCCCCGCCTCCGTAAGGTTATGTATCGCCGTTACGTTGTTAATCATGGTCTCTGCTGCTGCCGTAAAATTGGCCGTCAACTTCTCCAAGAGGCCCGGGGCCTCTGTGGTCAGCGCTTCGTACAGACCGTCGGCCACCGGGGCCTCGGCGACGCCACTGGCTGCGGTCCCGTTACGCTGGACAGATCCCTTTACGTTGCCCCAGTAGCCGTGTCTACCCATCCACCATTGAAAGACCGCGAATGCGACGGCCACAGCGGCGTATTCGAGCACTCTCTGGCAGACCACACTGGACTTCGACCGCGACGACCCCCTGGGAGCTGCGGCTTCGATCACAATATTGTGCAACGCAGTCACGTCGTCGTATTCTACCTCGCGCATTTTTGAGTCAGTTCCTTGCGGGTTGAAGTGTAGCTTCCAGAAGAGTCCTCTCTAGAGACCGACCGCCACTCCTTTATAAAGGGTCGCCCAGTGCCTTCTACGGCTTGTGCCGGGGCCATAGTCCTCGGCACAATGTCTTCGAAGATACGATCGGCGACTGGTTAGTCCAAGGCGTCGAGGGGATTCTTGGGCACCACCAAGCCCTGCCAAATGCTGGTCGCTAAGGAGTCCACAGCTCGGTGGTAGTCAGCCGTCCCTGTCTCAAGCAGCGTCGCCCGTTCGTCCAGCCCGTTGTTGCCTTTGAAGCCGTGAGCACCGCCACCTTTGTCCAGGCACGCGTCGACGTTTTTGGGCGGCAGCACCAACAGTCGCACGCTATCTTGTGTAAGGTCGAACTTGGAACGCGGCTTCGCAAGGTCCTTAGGGTCCGCCACGACCAGAACCTCCAGGGGCCGGTGACTCCCAAGCCCGTCAATTACTGCCATCTTCGCGCTGCAGCCTTGAACATTCGTCTGCTCACCTCCGTCTGTGTACAAGACAGACAGAAGCCCATTTAGTTCCAGACCACTAGATTCTCCGCACACACTCGTCTTCATTACCGCCTTCAAAAAAAAGTTGAACTTTTAGGTTGGGCTGCCGACACTTGTTGTGTCCCCCAGCATTAATAAACTCTTGGGCAGGCAGTCATGCTTGGGCCGGTGTCCTCCCGTACGAGCCGTTCGTGTCTTCGCCATCTCAGGTAATACAAGATTAGCCACCGAGGGTCGTCCTGCGGGCCGAAACGCCGACGAAGACATAGAGTTTCTCGTCTGCATCGTTCGCCGTCTGGCACGTGACTCTAAGTTTCAGACACCTACAATCGGGGAGGCCGTCCGAGGTCAGAGTCCTTCCTTGCGACTAGTCTTTGTCTTGTCGACTGGATTTTGTCGACTGGATTCTGTCGACTAACTGCACACAAACAGAAAGGTGGACTGACGTCGATAGATCAAAAACACAGCGACCAATATAAATAAGAAAGGGTTTTAGACGATGTCAGTGATTCCACCCACTCTTGCCAGCAGCATGGGGATGTAGTCCAAAAGGAGAGCGGCAATACTCTATCATTGATACACGTCTCAAATAGTTGTCGAAAAATTATCGCGCCAAAAAAACTCAGCGAACAGGTTGCTGTGTGAACACCCCTTGAGTGCTTTCGTTTTGCAGTTCTTCTGAACGGCTGTCGTCATCTGCAATGGGTGTCACTTCCGAACTTTGCGTGCTGGTACCCTGCATCGATGTGCAAGTCCCCAGCATCGGTCACTCTCACCGATGTTTACATTCATAGTCCCTCTAAGGGTCCACTCCGGCCGGCTTGTTTCTAACTAAGGTCGCATCCAAACCCGGTTTTCAATGACAAGAGCCGAACTCGGTTTTTTGAAAGTATTGCACCTTGTACAGATTCTGTGTGATTGCTGCCTCTGTTTGATGATTTCAATGCAGTCATGGATTGTCTCCCTTTTCTCACCGAGGAGTGCGAGCAGAACCGAAGCTTACTCGCAGGACCACCGCAAAGTGAGTTCCCAACAGGATCAGATGATAGCTTTGCTCCAATACGAACTGAAACGGACAAATGAGAGGTTTAAAGGTAAAGAGTGTGAAGTTGCGCTCCTTCGAGCCCAGTTGAAGGGGATTACCAACTCTCAATTAACAGGTTCTCAGTTAACAGGTTCTCAATTAACTAGTTCCCAAGTGCAGGGCCGTCGAATCGGTCCTGATGCGAAGCAGGAGCTGAAACAATTGAAAAGTGAGGTGTCGAAGCGCAACACGCAACTTGAAGCGCTGAACAAATCCGCGAGACTCAAGCGGGAGAGACTCGCGGGGCTGGAACGCTCGATTGTGGACCGTGAAGCTGCTTTCAAGCAGCGGCAGCAGGAGTGGGAAAAGCAACTTGAGGATCTGCAAGAAAAGGTGGTGGCAATTGACCGAGAATTCACCAGCAAGCAAAACGAAGTAATGCTGCTCCAAAGCGTTCTAACGATCCAAGAGGAGTCCAGCAAGCAGCTGCAGACCAAACATGCAGAACTTGACGTGAGGGTGATAGGGTCTCACAAAATATTGCAAGAGGAAGCTGTCAAACTCCGTGACTTAGAACACTCTGTGGAAACTGAACGAGCCAAGAGAGACAGCCTGAAGACACAAATTGCAACACTTAAACACACAGCCCAGGACCTTGACGCACACGTGTCTCAATTACACGCGGAACTCGCACATGCCGAACAATTGCGGGAGGAACAATTAAGGATGGAACAACCACAGCATTCAAGGCAGCTTGACAAAATTATCGTACCAGAAAGGCCATCGCGTCTGGCGGCGGAAATAAGTCAGCAAAAGAAGATATTGAAGCACCTTCGTCTTTGTGTTGAGCAGTGCCGTGAAGAGTTACTCAGACACAAGCCTACTTGTAGCGTTATTGGTTTTGGTAAGGCTACCAACGGTGCAGTCTCCAACAGTGCAGCCTCCAACAGTGCAGTCTCCAACAGTGCAGTCTCCAACAGCGCGATCTCCGTTGAGGATTTCATTCTTCCTGAAAAGGGGTCCGTTCAGGAAGAGACCGTTCCGAAAAAGGCCGGCCCCCCTCGACCGGCTACCGATTCCGATCCGGAGGCCGGCCCCGCTGAAACCGCGTCATGTATGTCAGAACCTCACCCGGGTCGCGCAAGGTTAAGTTCTGACGGTCGTATTGAGCGTGGAAGAACACACTCGTGTGTTTAGTAGTCTGTGACGATGGAGACATTTACGAACAAGTTAAGACTGACCACACTGGCAGGCTTGGTCGTCTCCGACATCAGTCTGTCTCCGACATCAGCCTGTCTCAATGTTCCTGATGGCGTGTGTTCAAAGATTCGATCGAGAAAGATTCGATCAGGAACTCTTTGAAGTTAGGAACTTATGGAGCAGGTCTTTTTTGTGAGCTCGCCACGTCCATAAGAAGTTTCGGCACGTGTGCGAGTAGTCGTCAAGTTGTTCCAATGCGGCACAAAGACGCTTCATACGGAGGGGTATTCCATAGGGGTGGGAGGATGCAACCAAACGCCATGTAGATAGCCGCTCTGTAGATAGCCAATAATACTTATCGTGCACCCGTTTCGTACTTCCCGTGCACCCGTTTCGCACCTTCCACCGCCAGCGTCCGCATTGACACGGCCAGCGTCCGCATTGATCGGTCACCAAGCGACACCTGAGGATGGCCAAGAAGCGTAAGCCCTCCAGCTTAAGGCAGCAGCAGACCCTGCAGCAGCGGATCTGGCAGCAGACCTTGCAGCTGCAGAGCTTGCAGCAGCAGACCGAACATTTGAAAGGTTGCGTCACGCAGAGAAACACAGAGCTTGCACAGCGAAACAAAGCCCTGAGGGAGAAGAATGCAAAACTCGAGGAACTGAACAGGTCAATCGCGGATCGTCAAGTTCAGAAGAAAGCATGCGAAAGTAAACCAGACACAACGGCAATGGAAATGGACCGAAAGCTGGCAGCCTACCGGCAGCGGGTAGCCGACCGGAAACTGGCCGCCGTTAATGAAGAGGTCGAGGCGGAGGCCGGCAAACTACGCGATATGAAACACCTTGTGGAAAATGAACAAGCCAAGAGAGACACGTTGCAGACTCAAAAAGCCGCTCTTGAACATGACGTGCAGATCCTCGATACTCAGGTGTCACAATTACATGCCGAGTTGCACCGTGCAGAACAACTAAGGGTGGAACAACTCCGGGTGGAACAACTCCGGGTGGAACAACTCCGGGTGGAACAACTAAGGGAGGAGGAGCAATCAAGAAAAACGATAATCATACCTGCACGCCGGTCGCGACTGGAGGAGATTCGGGAGCAAAAGAAAGTGCTTAAACACCTTCGTCTTTGCGTGGAACAATGCCGTGAGGAATTAGCCGGCCAACGACACTTGAGCCGCCATCCCACTGTTGATTCCCTACCAAGCGACCACCCCGCTGTCGGTTCCCTTCCGAGTGCTAACAATAACTTGTCTGATAACAGCTTGAGTAATTGTAACTTGTCTGGTAGCAGCTTGTCTGGTAGCAGCTTGACTGATATGCAGACAGCAGCGAGTCGCGGATGGTGTTTTCGATTGCCGTCGTTTCGAGATAGTCAGTCTCCTAAAGAGCCGCGGAACTCCACTTCACAAACTCTTATGATGGGTCCCAGAAAACTGATGGAGTTTGTCAAACGGCCGTGGCGGTCTTTGGCACTAACAGAAGAACCTGGCGAAAAATGAATACACGGCCGAAACATTACGCCGTAACTTGTACCACCCGTCTGGTACCACCCGTCTGGTACCACCCGTCTGGTACCACCCGTCTGGCTTGATCCATCCCATGCCCGCATTACCAAGAGAGATTCAGAAAGGCTGGCAGACCCGTTGATCCACCAGGTGCCCCCCTGTGCTAGAAGGCTATACCTTGCTGGACAGCTTGGAACACATCGTACAGCTTGGTCGTGAGAGCATTTACTGCTGCCCGTGTTTGTCTCAGAATGTACTCCGTCGCTTCACGATCACTTTTGTCGTATTGCAAGCGCTCTCTATTGCGACATATAGTGTGTGTGTTGTGTCGTATAGTGTCCGTGGTGTGTCATATAGTGTGTGTGGTGTGAGTGTTGCACTGACTTTAATCTATTGATGGTGTGTGGTTTGAATCCTTTCAAGTGGGCATGCTTGTAGCTTTCAACGAGTAGAACTAACTCCTCCCTGTGAACCCTGAGGGCAAGATATCCGTGCACAATAAGTTGTCTCAGCAGGAGACTGCCGCTGGATCCTTGGCTGCCGCCGTCGATGAGTCCAATCATTTCGTTGGTGAGCTTGAAGGGGGCCCGTTCGAATTTGAGGTCGTGAGCCGGCGCAAAATCAAGTATGAACCCGAAATCGATGTGAACTAGGAAGCCGTCATGTGTGAGGAGAATGTTGGCATTATGGCGGTCTTTGATCTGTAGTAAGAAGGTAAGTAGGCTGGCTGCTGCCAGGCTGGTCGTGAAGTTCCAGCGAGCTTGTTCGAGCGATTGGCCTGAGTAGAACTTGGAGTAGTACCCGTCCAAGGTGAGGCTATATCGAGTGCCGATCTCATGACGGCTCTTGCAATTCTCCAGCATCTCAATCACGCCGCCTTGGCAGCAGGAGACGGCGCTTTGTTTGGTTGTAGAGGTCCGCTGCGCCCCACTTGAGCCGGCGCTCAAGTTGTTGGCAGAAACCGCGCCTCCGGCGGCACCCAAAGACCCGGAGAGGTTGGGCGTGAGTAGCACGTAGGGAATGCATTTGTAGGTGATGAGGCGCAGGGGGAGGCCGGTGCGAGCAAAGACAGAGTTCATGAAGGTGGCGACCTGGTGGACAAGCATATCGTGTCTGATGTCGTCATTGTACTTGAGAATTACGTTCTGTCGCCGCCGAGTATCGCTAGCGTCTGGGCAGTTGGGCACGGTGTCGAATTGCACCGTGTAGGGCACGCGTGTGGCGCTTTTCAGGCAGTGTACCTGGTCGAGTTTGACGCCGATGATTTGGGCGCCATTAGTAGGAGAGAGGAGACTGTGGGTTGCCCGCCGACCGTCACAGGCGTCGTAGGCCCGGTTGGTTGTGGCGGCCGGTACTGGGACCAGTGCTGGAGGGAGAGTTTGTCGCGGTATGGGGTCCGCCTTGGATTGGCACTCGGTCAGAATCTTCGACCGCAGCATTGCTTCGAAGGTGGTGATTTGTCGCACACCCAACGCGTTCAGCTCCTCTTCCTTGAGCAACGCGCCGCTCTCGTTCAAGAATAAGGGACCCCGCTCAGTCGGTTCCGGTCCCAGTGTACCGATCAGCAGTCGCGACCTCCCCAAGGCGAGGCTCTGGGGTGACCACGGTAGGTTCGCCGGTGTAGCCACGTCAGCGAAAATATCCTCGTCCTCCTGCATATCCTCTTCCTCCTCCAGCTCCTCCTCACTGCCGCCTACCCCATATACTGGCACACCCAACTCCTTACACAACTGGCCAATCTCCCTACATATGTACTTTGGCCGCTTACCCACTTCCACGGACACCGCACTACCTCCCAACTTCACCAAATGCTGTACAAACTCCATACTGTCCAAACACTTCTCCACTCCTTCACAACAACGTAACATTATGATACCCAATTGACTCAACCGAAGCAACCAACACACAGTCGGCCACCCGGACTCCCGACTCACCAACTCCAACGTCATCTACAATCAGCCAGATGTGATAAACCCCTCCTCTCGGGTGTCATAAACCCCTTGTGGGGGACGCCTACGTTGAACTCGTTCATGACAGTTCTGTATAAGGCAGACAGGAGTGCCCCAGCTGCCGGGTCCACCGAACATCGGTTGACCAATTCATGCCAAATGGAGTACCAGGCGTTGGACTTTAGGCCCTAAGAAAATGAGTAAAGAGTCAACAGATTATTCCATTACTTTGTGGATGAACTGGGGTATGTAGATCACCAGTTCTGATATGGGTGCGAGCTTGATGGCTTTGGTAACGTAGGTCTCTTCGACGGATTGGTAGTCCAGCTCGGCAGGCGGGGGGCTTCCGCCAGAGTCGTTGCCGTACCCGGGACCCGCGCCAAGTGCAGTCGCGAAAGCAGTGCCCTTGGAGGCCAGCTTGAACGGCAGCAGCGTATGCCTCAACGGCAGAGTCGGCCAGCCCGGGTCCAGACAATGCGTCCGCAGCATACGGTCCACCCAGTTGGCACCGTAACTCTTCAGACTGTGCCGCTGCACCGACAGGTACAAGTCCAGCTCCAAGTTCCGAGAACATAACAAATTGCTCGAAACGTACCGCCGATACAGGATCCGCGAAAATAACAACTGCACCTCCTCCGCCGACAACTCTCGACCACCAATCAGTGTTGCCGCGCTGTGATGAAACGGCGTCTTCCGCTCCGAACTGCTTAACAACACTCCCGCCAAACTCTCCACCACCGACGAAGCCGCGTGCCCTCGTGTCAGCACTGCCTTCACACGACGAAACAAACGGTGACTTCGACTGTCAATCAATGGCTCGCCCTTCACTACAACAACACACTCGCGCCAACAGCCCCCC